AGGTGTGGGAACAGCATTTTCAGGTTAGTGCGACGTCGACTTTTAACTCAGTGGTACAGGAAAAGGCCAATTGGCAGGACTTGAACGCACTCACCTTGCTCCCTTTTTTGCAGCTCTCTCTTCTGTTTTGTTGATGGGCTTCTCCCACATGGTACGGAAGGAAAATGCATGAAAGGCTGAACGAATTAATGAGGATTTTGTTGGAAAGTTGAGAATTTTAGCTACGAAAACTTGAAAAAAGTGGTGTGAATATGTGCAAGAGGGTAGAGGAAGTAACGAGAAGGGGTGAATTAACTAAAACGTGTAAATCTGACAGGTGGACCTGAAAAGCTTCGAAGTTTCTGGAACGATAGCCTGCACAGCATTAAATTTTTGTTACAGACGAAGCAACGTGACAAATTATCACCGACGAGTGCTAGTAATGGTGGAAGCGCGAGCAGTCAACGGACCAGTCGTTGGCGACATGATGATATTCCGAAAGAGAAAATTATAACTATTTATCATCGTGAAATGGCAAAACTCAAGGAACAAGTAAGTTTTTCAGTCCAAAAATAAGTAGATTTTTACCTTCAGTACTTTTTGTTCCCATTTCTCTTCAAAAGAAAAAGAGAGAGGAAGAGGGAGAGCCATACTGTGTTCTAACAATTCCTGAATTGTTCCCCCTCTTTCAGTACCGTATTTTCCTCAGAACAGTCAGAAGTTCATTAGTGATGATAATTTTTAAATTCGCAATTTTGGGTGAAATAGATTTTGAAGGAACCTTTACTTGAGTTGTTAGTTATCGGAGAGATTATTGTCGCCATTGTATTTTCTCGGATTTTCTAATTATTTTTATTTTTTAATTGCAGGAATCACATCTGGAACATGCAGTCGGCTCCCGTTCATCACATCCAAGGATCAAAGAAGAAAAGGTACAGTACTTTGCTGTCCGTCCTCCCGATATTTGCCCCCAGAAACTCTTAAGAAGCTGTATTTCCTTCTGCTAGGATTAACGCCCATTAGGCCAGTATAGACAGATTCTCTCAAAAAATCTATTGGCTCATTAAGCTAGGCCTCCTAATTTCTTGTGTTTTCTAGTCAGCGGAACCAGCGGATTCTGTTGCATCATCGATGGCATCCACGGTAGGTGGAGCAGCGACGGGCTCCAGCTCTCCGTTACCGGTAAATGTTCCGCTGAATCCAGCACAAGCACTGTTTGCGGCGAAATGTCATAATGGTTTGTCTCCGATAACTCAGGAGCAGCTTGAACGTTGTGCACCGCTGGACACCGAAGATCTTGTCAAACGGGTAAGCAAAAATTGGAGTTTTGGTGTGATTTAATGCTCATTGTGAGTTTCTGAAGTGCATAATTTCCTTGTTAATATCTCAACGGGTGTTGGATCAGTGCGTAACCAGGGCTTTTCCAAAAAAGACATTTAATTTTCTTTTTTTCTGAAAGGGTGAGGAGGAGGAGCGAGGGACGGGGGAAGAAGTACACGGGAAAAAGTCTCAAAAAATCCCCAAGTTATTACAAAAACCGCGTTTTGGTTGTCTTATTTTTTCAAGAGTCACATTTGGTGCCCATATCAATCTTTTTTGCAGGTCAAAGACTTTCTCTCGAAAAATTCGATATCCCAGCGCCTGTTTGGTGAAAATGTGGTGGGCCTTTCACAGGGTTCTGTTTCGGATCTGCTGGCAAAACCGAAACCATGGATTATGCTAACACCGAAAGGACGTGAGCCTTTTATACGCATGCAACTTTTCCTTAATGAGGCTCAATCCATCGAATGCAAGTCTGAGACAGGTATCGTGATTTCACTTAGCAGCACTAAGAAATTCACGGAGTGATCGTAGTAGTAGCAGGGGTATAGTAATCTCTGCGATGTTAACACTGTAGTTCAGGTGCATTGTCCAGGAGATGGAATTCATTTTGAGAATTTGTTGACTTTTTTAATGAAAAACTGGGCATTCTTAATTGTGCTTTTTGTTAACCGTTTAACATTTTGAGGCATATTGGCATACTCTGAGGGCACAAGAAATCGGGGAGAGAAGTGAATTTGCCGCTTAGTCTCACATTCAATACAGGCAATTTTGTCGCCCTTTGATAGTGCAGAATTAAGACATTTTTTTGTCTAATTAGATTTACCGTATTTTTTGTATCGCACAAAACACAAATTGAAAACGCCATGCATTTTACTCAAATCGTTTTGGAGTTGTCGTAGTTGCCGTAATATTTCCTTTGTAACCTCCCACTGAAAACACCAGTGATGCTTAATTTTTCCAGTGATTTATTTGATTTATTGTAGAAAACGATTTGA